ACGGTCTAATATGCAAATAAGGTACTAAACCTACATACATACACGATTTGTTCCCCATATCCGCGATTGACGTGCGTGATTTCGTTTCAGAGTTACGTGCGGGACACGTTAATTTTACAGGATAGTTTGACTTCATAACGATACTCCACAAATTAAAAAAAAAATACGAATCGTAGAATTTATTTTGGGATCGATGACCTTCTAATTCCTCAGTTTTATTTTGTGTGTCGATACTGACGTCTCTTTCGAGAAAAATACATAATCTGTTGGGTCTCCTTCAAACTTCCTTGAAATAAAATTTCATGGACTTGCAGAAGTTCCCCGGGGTTCCTGGAAAGAACCGCAGTGGCAAATTTAAATGGGAGAAATTTTGCGACTTCAAGGCGACTATCGGGAAACGAAAATAAACAGATAATATCAAAATTGTTTTGGAAAGCGTAATAATTATTTCAGGACACATTACTGACATTAAATCAGCTTATTGGATATATCGAGATAAATCACAAATTTGAAGTGTAAATATTATAAGTAAAAATTAATAAATGTCAAATAATGACAGAGTGAAGGCAGATGGCAGAGAAAAAATTCAATAATAGGTTAAACAATTTGGAAAATATTAAACAATAATTCAGGGAAATTAATATAAAATTTGTCAGTAGAATATTAGAAAAGTAAATAATAGATAATAAAGTGTAAAGTGAAGTGAAGACAAAAAAAAGAGAACATTATAAGAATATAAAGGAAGGTGTAAGGACCTTAAGGAATAGTGAGGATGAAGGAAAAACAAAAGAAAGAAGAAAAACGAAATTAGTTACAAAATAAAAAAAGAAAAGTGAAGGAAGTAAAATTTGATGAATTTAAAAGTTGGAAGTAAGTGGAGCAGGATAGTAAAATCAAAAGGAAATTTGTAGTATATGCAAGTTGATGCATAGAGGAGCCTCCAGAGGGGAGGATAGTGTGAGGTTGGTGCAGGAAAGTGCAGTATTAGGGTCAAAGATAAATTATAAATTTGACAGATCTGAACAATCTAAGTTATTGCAGAATCAATGTAATAGATGCAATATTAAAGACCATACCTAAGTGGTGCCATATTCAGATGCATAGACAGTGGAAAGACATTATTAAGTTTCACTTGAGTACAAAATTAATTTGACAGGAACTGTCAAAAGTTATATGTACAATTAGTTCACTAAGTTGTTGAGAATCTAGATTAATAGTTATTACATTCAATAGTATATAATCAATTTGAGACTGGAAATACATATAATAATTTTGAAAATTTATTACCTGTATAAAAAATTTTACTTTATAAAGTTGATCCTATATATATATATAAAAACCAGTGATGTATTTGGGATTGCAGTCAATAGTGCTAAGGGCTAATGTAATAAGAACACTCTGTGTTGTTGTCAAGCTTTCGGAAATGTTTATTTCCTTTCTCAAGACATCTATAAGAAATAACAAAAATGCTTAGAATAATAAGTTATAAAAGCTTATTATATACTTACAAACGTGAGATTATCCTATAAAAACCATCAAAAACGAAGTATACAAGAACATTGTTAAAATTTTTAATTAAAAGTAATTGTAACTATAGTCAAACATTCTATTATAAACAATAATTTTTAAGTCAATTTTTAAAATTTAAACAACTACTACAGTAAAAAGGAGCCATGCCTTTGAATTGTGAACTATTTTTTCTAACTATCAGAACCAGTTTTTTTT